CTCCCGCCGCGTCACCCCCCCCCCCCCCCCCCCCCGCCCTCCTCCTCCACCCTCCGTCCACCCCACGCCGCCGCTCCCTGCTCCCTGGTGCTGCCGCGCCCCTTCCGCGTCTGATGCACTACTATGCGCCCCTTACTTCGGCCGCCGGCGACCAGCCCCTGACCCTGCAGCTGAAGTGTCGCTTTTTGCATCAGTGGCGGCGCTTTCGCATCGACGTCCCCCCGGCTTCCACCGAGCGGACCTGCCTCAATCCGGTGACCAGCTTTGTCTTGCCGTACCCCTGGAAGTCTCACCGTCAGACGCTCTTCTGTCTGGACGGTTGCGTCAATGGCGAGTGCCCAGCGTACGGCGTGCTGGCCGAGACTTTCCTCATTTTGGTTGTACGTGCTCTTGGACAAGAGCAGATGTGTGGCTCCGTGACTGTGGCCCTGTGTGTGTGTGTGTGTGTATCTGTGTGCCTGTGTGCCTGTGTGTCTTTGTGTGTCTTTGTGTGTCTGTGTGTGTCTGTGTGCCTGTGTGTCTGTGTGTGCCTGTGTGCCTGTGTGCCTGTGTGCCTGTGTGTGTAATGTGCCTGTGCCCATGTTCCTCCTTCTTCTTCTTTCCGGCCCCCTGTCCCCTTGATCAGGGCACGAGGGGCCCCTGCGATTGCCCACACCACAAGCTCTTGCTGACCGTCATCCGCAGGGATCTGTCCACGACAACTTCGGCGACGTCTTCATCCTGTATGAAAATGAGGAGATGCCCAGCATCCAGGTGGACGGTTTTCCGCCATGCGCCTTCCTCAGTGACCCGCTGGACCTGGCTTACGCCCTGGGGAAGGCCGACTCAACGACCCTGAAATTGATCCTGCTGCCCATCGATGAAGATCCACCCCTGGCCGAAGACCCGGCAGCACCGGGACCCCTGGCCGACGAGCTGGCCCCCCGGGAGGCTGGCTTTCAGCATCCCCTCCACTCGGCCGGGGAAAGCCTCGATGATAGGTTCGTCTCCGCGGCTCGGGCCCCCGGATGCAGCCTCGCAGGAGTGCACCGGTGGACCGTCCTCCGGCCAGGCATACCTCATCGTCAAACACCTCACCGGAGGCCGCGCGCCAGTTCGAGCCTCTTCTAACGGCAAACCGCACCCCCCCCCCACACGTCTCCTTCCCCCACACATCACCCTCTCTCTTGTTCTTTCTTCTCATCCGCACCCCTCTCCCCCCCCACCCCCCCCCCCCCCCCCCCCCCCCCCCCCGCGCGCACACACACACATTTATATTTGCAGCTACTCCACAGGCGATCCCCCGTGCGAGGATTACCCGCCACAACCATGGAGCCCACACGCTTCGCAGGAGATCCCGAACACGGGCGACAACGGCTGGGACGGCCTCCCGCAAGAAGTGTCCGGCTCAATGCCGGCGCCACGCCCGCCCGCCCTGGCGTTCGGCCACGAGGAGGACCACTTTGCCGAACGGGACCCCGGAGCACGGGGCAACTTCCCCGCCCTGGCCCCGGCCATCCCACGCATCAGCCTGCCGGACGACTTCCTGGCCACCGGGGCCGGAATGCAGGTGATCGATCCGCCCTTCGGACCACCCCGGCCGCGACTGCCCTCCCTGAGCCTCGGCCCATTGCCCGGGGCCGACCCGGACGTCGAGGCGGATTCCGATGCCCTGCTGGCGGCTCGGTACGAGGGCCTGTCCCTGGGCGGCGACCGGCCAACCACCGGGTCGCCAGCTCCCCCGGCAGCTACTTGCGTCTTTTGCCGGAACCCCCTGCAGGCCGGCGTGCCATCCCTCTGCATGGATGGCACCGCTTGCATCCCTGACGATCCGACCTTCCGAGTCCCGGCCGCCATGCCGGACCCGGGCCCCAGTGACCCGGGGCTGGCTGGCTACCCGGGCCCCGGGGCACTGGCCCCAGCTGGCAAGCCGCCCGGGTTGACACTCCTGCCCCCGGTCCCCGGGCTCTCGGTCGATGTGGACTCCCTGCCGTCGGTCGGCAACTGGGACTACCTGGCCAACATCGCGGCATACATGCGCGATGCCAGCCTCAGCATGGAGGACCTGGAGTTTGTGGACATTCGGTCCCTTTGCCCGGGGCAGCTGGTCGCCATGACCCCTTGCGCCGGGGAGCGGCCACCCCCGCCGGCCACCCCGGACGACATGTGGCCCAAGGCACCCCCGGCCCTGCCCCCGACCGGAGGCCAATCCTTCAGCATGCTCCAGGGGTCCCTCATCGGCAGCGGCATCTCCTCCATCGTTCGTTTGGTTCGGCACAAGGCCACCGGCAACCTGATGGCCCTGAAGGTGGTCACCTGTCCGACCGACCGGTCTGGCGGGGTACGTACCTTGGCCTGGAGCTCGCCTCCGCGGGAGCACAGCAAGCGCCCTGTCTTGGCGTTGAGCTCCGTCCTGCCCCCGCCCCCCCCCCCCCTTCCGCTTTTCCCCTGACACTTCGCCCCTGCCCTCTTCGTCTCCCCCTTTGTTCACCCGCGGCCCGCAAATGGCCCTCACCGCCCTCACACTATTGCCCTGTGACCCTTCGCCTGCTCGGTGGTGCAGCAATCCCAAATCGAAACCGAACTGATGGTATGTCCTCAAGGCCAGGGCAAGGCCTGCCTTGCCTGTTTGCATGGAGGGCCTTCCTCGGCTCTGACCCCCCCCCCCCCCCTCGGCTCTGACCCTTCTCCGGCCTCTCCTTCTCGCCATCGTGCCACCTTTGTGCTCACTCTCCGCCTCTTTCCCCTCGCGCTGAAGATTCTCAGCCAAGCCAAATCCCCCTTCATTATCGGTCACTTCCACAACTTCTTCCATCGCGATGGGGCCATCTACATTGCCACCGAGTTCATGGACTGCGGCTCGCTGCATGACGTCTGTCACCACCCCACCCTGGCCCGGGAGAAGCCCGGCATCTACCCACTTCCGGGTGGTGAGAATGCCCTTCGCCATGTGGCACGCTCCGTGCGTCCTCCCGAACCCCCTTGCTTCTCCCTTGCTTCGGTTGCCCGCCCGGCCTTTTGGCTCGCTGCCTATGCTGACGGCTCTCTCCGATGCCATCGCGCCAGACGGCAAGTGCCCTGGATTATCTTCACACACAGCTTGGCGTCCTGCATCGAGACATCAAGCCCAGCAACATCCTGCTGAACATTCGCGGCGAGGTGAAAGTCGCCGATCTTGGTGTCTCGGCACGCCTCAATCCCGATGCCAGCGGTGCTCGGACCTGGATCGGCACCAGTGTATATATGGCGGTGTGTTGCTCCCCTTCTTCTTTTTTTCTTCCTGACACCACTCCCGGCCTTTGCTCAAGGTCAACTCTCTCGACGCCTCTCACCGTTGCTGCTGTGCGCGCTCCGCCACATAGCCCGAGTGCATTGCCCACTCGAAATCCTACGGCCCGACGGCGGACATTTGGTCTCTCGGAATTACGCTCATTGAGCTGGCCCACGGTGTTCACCCCTTTTCCAGTACGCAAGCTCCCTCTGTGCCTCTCTCTCTCTCTCTCCCTGGCGTGGGATTGCCTGTGCTCGCCCGGGAACCGCCACTCACCGCACCGGGGACCCCTGCGCGGGGGGCCACACACACACACACACACACACACACACACACACACAGCCACTTCATCGTCCGGCATTTTGGCCCTCATCAATCGCGTTGTCTACGGCCCCAGCCCGAGCCTGGACGCTCCACAGCACCTCCCTCGCATTGAGGATCCCTTCTATCAGCCGACATTTATTCGCAAGCTGGATGACTTCCACCGGCCAATCGATGGCTCCGACCTCTTTTCGCCGCAGTTCTCGGACTTTGTCCAGTCCTGGTGCGTGCTATCGTCTCTCCATGTGTGCGTTGCTTCCTGGCCATATTGCTGTCACAAGCTGACCCCTGCTGCCTTTTTTTTTTGCCCATTGCCTTGGCACATCTGTCCCTTGAACGGCATGCGAACATGAAGCCTCCACAAGGACTCGAAACGCCGGCTGCCGGCCAGTGCTTTGCTTGTACGTTGGCCACTTGCTCCCTCGATAGTCATGCCGCCACTGCCCCTCCTGCCGGAATCCCGCCTTCTGACGTGTCGAATGCTGCAACGAAAAAAAAAACCCAGCTCCATGGCTTCATCACCTCACTGGACGATGCGGCCCAGCGGTTCTGTCCGGCCGAATGGGCGTCGAGCCTGTACCTGGCAACCATGAAGCGCGAGCTGTGCTCGGCCCACAGCGCTCCGGCCGGCCCGGACCGCTCCACTTCGCCGGTGCCCAGCCCACTGGATCCCCCTGGCAACGCTGCCACAGTGCCGGCTCTCAGCCCTGGCTCCAGCGTTGATGGTGCCCTGCCCGAATAGGCTCCCATATCCAATATAGACCACTTGTACTTGCATTAAAGAACCCACACGAGTCGATTCCATTCGCGTCGCGCGGCGTTCTCTGCCCGATTGACCAGAGTGGTGGTTCTGATATAGCATATCGTGCATTCTCGGCTGCTTGGCCGGTGTCGAATTTTGAGTAGCCCTCGGCTTTTCGGTCCAGCCTGGCATGGACGCCTGTGTTTCTCGATGCGTGCATATGCCCATTCACGCTCGTCAGAGAGCCCCCCCTTAGCTCCGAGGCCGCAGAGAGGGAGGGGGAGCAAGATCGCCGCAGCCCCCCCCCCTGCCCCTTTGGCCGACAATGTGGGGGATTTCGCCAGCCTGGCGCCGCGGGCGGCACGATCGCGCCCCGATCAGGACCGCAGTCTGGCGGGCTAGGGGGGGCCGGTGAGGACTGCCGTACGCAATAACATCCACACACATCCACACACACACACACACACACACACACACCCCTGGCCTCCCCTCGCATCCCCCCCCCTGGGAGGTGCCAGGGGGATCGGGCGGGCAGAGAAAACAACCTCGGCTTAGCGGTGCATACTCCGCAGGATAGCCCCCCCCCCCCCCCCCGCACCCGGCCAAGTTGGTGGTGGCGACGGAGGCACAAGACTCGCGAAGGTGGCGCGTCTGTCAAAAATGTCGGCATACACCCGTGGGGTCCGGCGGGCGGCGGACCGCAGGAACAACAAGGGGACTCGAGCCAGGCCGCTCAGGGGGGGGGGGGGGGGGCGACCAGGGATCCAGCCCCCCGGGCACCGACTCGGCTCCCGAAGAGGCGCCAC